ACTGTACAATAAAGACCAGAGGAGACTTTGTACAAAAGTCGATTGCTTGGGTACCTCTGTCCCATTCGTGTTTCAACCGTGAAGCAGCTGTGTTTGCATGGCTGTGTTTCGGTTTGAAGGGTGGGATATAACGTTAATTTACTGGGTACAGAGGAATAACACCTGAGTCCTCAGGAATGGCAACACATGGGAGGTATCATGGGCGTAACAGTATACTCTGTTATGTCCATGGTACTGCTCATGTCTATAGGTGACGGTTACCATTTTCTATCAGGTGGGCCGTCAGCTTGTTTGCCATTCTAAGTTGTATAAAAAAAAAAAGAATTATATTAAATAGAAGAACCTTCTTCTATTTTGAAGTGAATTAAAAATAAAACATAGATAAAAGGAAAATGAACGTAATTAAGAGACGCTCAATCGCTTACATAATTATCTAATAATTAATAACACAAATTAATTGCAAGCGTGTGTGCGTGCGGCTTAAACGGCATAATGACGCGTTGTCTTGGTTAGTGCGCATAGCTAGGGCAATGACTTTATTATCTCTTTTTGCCTACAGGTCTATATCTATATAAATTACACCATACAATTTCCTTTGATGTATGATCGTAAAACAATAATTATTATTATGTTGCATCAGATACTGTCTAATTGTATCTAATATCTAACGATCTGTAGCTTGTATTTTTTTAAAATAAATATCTGTTTAGCTATTGGCATACGCTGACGGTACCAGTGAAAGATATTGAAGATTAAGTCAAATCACTTCTGTGACAAATATAGCAAGAAAGAACCTCGTGGCATCCAATCTAATAAGTACCGTTTCTAGCAACGATCTTCCTCTTCCCTTCACATGTGCCAGTTCGATTTCTGGTCAAAGCAATTATAAATAATAGCATTTCTAATTTAGTTCAGATTCAAACCTGGATGTACACTAAAATAGTTATTGGTTTAATACAAACTAAGTAGATATATTTGGGGCAGAAACAATTAAAAAGTGTTTTATAAAAAAACAGTGATTGATTTAATACAGACTAAGTAGACATATTTGAGGGCAGAAACAATTAAAAAAGTATTTAATAAAAAATAATAATTGATTTAGTACAGACTAAGTAGACATATTTTATTTGGGGCAGAAACAATTAAAAAGTGTTTTATAAAAAACAGTAATTGATTTAATACAGACTAAGTAGACATATTTGGGGGCAGAAACAAAAAGTGTTTTATAAAAAACAGTAATTGATTTAGTACAGACTAAGTAGACATATTTGAGAGCAAAAACAATTAAAAAGTGTTTTATAAAAAACAGTAATTGATTTAGTGCAGACTAAGTAGATATATTTGGGGGCAGAAACAATTAAAAAGTGTTTTATAAAAAACAGTAATTGATTTAGTACAGACTAAGTTGACATATTTGAGAGCAAAAACAATTAAAAAGTGTTTTATAAAAAACAGTAATTGATTTAGTGCAGACTAAGTAGATATATTTGGGGGCAGAAACAATTAAAAAGTGTTTTATAAAAAACAGTAATTGATTTAGTACAGACTAAGTAGACATATTTGAGAGCAAAAACAATTAAAAAGTGTTTTATAAAAAACAGTAATTGATTTAGTGCAGACTAAGTAGATATATTTGGGGGCAGAAACAATTAAAAAGTGTTTTATAAAAAACAGTAATTGATTTAGTACAGACTAAGTAGACATATTTGAGAGCAAAAACAATTAAAAAGTGTTTTATAAAAAACAGTAATTGATTTAGTACAGACTAAGTAGACATATTTGGGGACAGAAACAATAAAAAAGTGTTTTATAAAAAACAGTAATTGATTTAGTACAGACTAAGTAGACATATTTGGGGGCAGAAACAATTAAAAAGTGTTTTATAAAAAACAGTAATTGATTTAGTACAGACTAAGTAGACATATTTGGGGACAGAAACAATAAAAAAGTGTTTTATAAAAAACAGTAATTGATTTAGTACAGACTAAGTAAACATATTTGGGGGCAGAAACAATAAAAAAGTGTTTTATAAAAAACAGTAATTGATTTAGTACAGACTAAGTAGACATATTTGGGGGCAGAAACAATTAAAAAGTGTTTTATAAAAAACAGTAATTGATTTAGTACAGACTAAGTAGACATATTTGGGGACAGAAACAATAAAAAAGTGTTTTATAAAAAACAGTAATTGATTTAGTACAGACTAAGTAGACATATTTGAGAGCAAAAACAATTAAAAAGTGTTTTATAAAAAACAGTAATTGATTTAGTGCAGACTAAGTAGATATATTTGGGGGCAGAAACAATTAAAAAGTGTTTTATAAAAAACAGTAATTGATTTAGTACAGACTAAGTAGACATATTTGGGGACAGAAACAATAAAAAAGTGTTTTATAAAAAACAGTAATTGATTTAGTACAGACTAAGTAGATATATTTGGGGCAGAAACAATTAAAAAGTGTTTTATAAAAAACAGTAATTGATTTAGTACAGACTAAGTAGACATATTTGGGGACAGAAACAATAAAAAAGTGTTTTATAAAAAACAGTAATTGATTTAGTACAGACTAAGTAGACATATTTGGGGACAGAAACAATAAAAAAGTGTTTTATAAAAAACAGTAATTGATTTAGTACAGACTAAGTAGATATATTTGGGGGCAGAAACAATTAAAAAGTGTTTTATAAAAAACAGTAATTGATTTAGTACAGACTAAGTAGACATATTTGGGGACAGAAACAATAAAAAAGTGTTTTATAAAAAACAGTAATTGATTTAGTACAGACTAAGTAGACATATTTGGGGGCAGAAACAATTAAAAAGTGTTTTATAAAAAACAGTAATTGATTTAAACAGACTAAGTAGACATATTTGTGGGCAGAAACAATTAAAAAGTATCTAATAAAAAAATAGTAATTGATTCAATACAGGCATACTTGAGGCAGAAACAATTAAAAAAGTATTTAACTTTTTAAATTGCTTCTTTCCCAGTCTCATAGTAGTAATAAAAAGTCTCAAAAACGCTTCAGCGACTGTCAATACGTATTAAAGACATCAACGAACGCACAACTTTATCGAATGTTTATAACAGACATGCGAAAAAATTCACCAAGTCATTATTCAAAATGTAACGCGATCACACAACTTGATAACTTAACAATGGATGTAACTAATCGCCCTTCGAAAAAAGTGGCGCTTGTCTATTCGACTATCTACTGTTTATTGTATTGATCACAAGCAATTCTTGTTTTTTTTTTTTTTCAAGATTTTCAAAGAACCTTTATCTTTTGTGGAAGACAATTTTAAATTACTCTACATTTTTACTTCTGACAATAATATATGATTTCGCTGGCACAGATTTTGATATATTTATAACAGATACTCGACATTGATAAGGTATTTTCTAAAGATGTTTGAATTATTATTCTACATAACTTCAAGAAGTTCTTTCAAGGTCGAGTTTTGAGCGACTTTTAAATAATTTCAAGACTTAACATTAACAAGACCAAACGTTATTTAGTATTGCATACAGGATACTTCTATATTATACTAAATATCCATGTAAATTAATATAGAATCTACACTACACGGACAAGGCTTATACACTTAGCACGTCAACAATTGCTTTATAATATAAGTACATGTAGCAATGCATGTCATAAGTCTGATGAAAACGCGGTTTTTGACCACATTTGTCACTTATTATCAGGTGAGGTTGTGGTCTATAAACTCATATTAAAAAACTATTAAAAAAGTAAACTGTTATTTCTTACATTACCTAACATTACATTATCTCCATAAGTACTGCTATATATAAAAAGATACATATCCTACTGTTACCAGCACCTGATTGTTAATAACGAGGACTGGTTGTAGTTGCTAGCAATATAACCTATTAGATCGATCTCCACACGGTCCCCTTATAAGCTTACCTAGCTATCGTACTTAATCCTGGTGGATTGGTCAAGATAATTCAGTTGACCTACTTTCATCATCGCCTAATAATATTCACTGAGGGGGAAGGCATTGTTATTAATGTGGATTGTGTAAATTGTAATAAGTAGAAAAAGGATTATTAGAATTGTAAAAGATCTCTAGGAGTGAATCTTGGAAACCATCGTACTAAATTCCTAGGTCGAAAATTATGTATAAATAAAAATATATATATATATATATATATATATATATATATATATATATATATATATATATATATATATATATATATGTAATATTGTAATCATTTTAATCTTTAATGGCCTCGCTAATTATACCAACATCCCAAAAAGTAACTAATTAAGTCTAGCATACGTAATGACAATATCCTTATATGAGACTCCATCAAGTCCAATTATGAACCAAAACTATTTATTTTGTCTACAAATCGTTAATTTTCATATTATAATGCATAAACATTTTAGTAATAAACCAATTCGGGTGTAAAATTGTGGTATTTTTTTTTTGTAATTTTGTTCCTTTTTTTAATTTCAATTTATTTTCAAATTTTATTTTTTTAAATCTTTTTTAAAAGTTATATGTAGGTATTATTCTCAAATAATGTGTTGCGAATAGCTTTGTTAACATCTCAACTTTAACATTGACAATGTTGCTGTAGTTTTCAATAGTATTGTTTAATTTTGTGTTTCCTTCATTTGTATTATACATTTGTGCACACTTTGGTGGCTGTTAAATAATTATTTAAGTGTGTAATTACATATTGTTAGAGCTCTCTGTTTACCTTAAATAAATAAATTTATTTATTTGAAAAGTGCAATAAATAAAATATTATCACTAGTTAAAGTTTAATATTTTACAATGAAAACTAGTTAAAATTTAATATTAATAAAACTAAATATAATATTGAAAATGGTTATCCTTGTAAAAATTGGCATACACATAGTATGCCAATTTTTATGATGATAGGATGGATCAAGGAGCAGACCACGAACGAAGTCGCGTGTAAAAATTCGTAAGATTTAATCGAAGCTATTGATTACAGGATGAGTTACGAGATCATCAAGGCGACGTGTTCAAACAAAAATGAACTGTGGGAGGATCCTGAATTCCCGGCTGAAACGAACTCCATTTTTTACTTCCAAAGACCGGCATTTCACTTCGTCTGGAAACGACCTATGGTAAGTACCAGCTATATCTTATTTATTTATTTTTATTTCTTTGTTGACCACATTACAGAAAATGTTTGGTATAAAAGGTGGACTCAATGCTATATAGCATTATCTCCATGTCAACCTTTGAACAGAAACAGAAATGCAATTATGCGGTCAAAAAATTGAAAATTATATAGACATATAGTTACAGAGATATCTATATTGACTCACAAATTATATAATATCTTAGAGGCTAATATAAATATACTGAAAGGATTGCTAACAACGGTAGAAATATACGCGAATAGGTATATAAATAATTAAAGATTTTGTTTTGATAAATGTTCTATGGACACAACCTATAAGGATATCCTTTCAGATAAAAAAAAATCCAAATCAGTTCAGAACTAATGGAATTATGAGGTGATTTACGAAATAAGTATAAAAAACAACTGACAACTTCCTTCTTTTTTTTAATCGCTTGTAAAATATTTCAAATCATTTAATGACATTAAATTACATCATTGAATTACAAAAATTTATATGAATTGTATACACAGAATGAAAAAGCAAAAGTTATTGCCATGTTGCTTTGAATGAAGGGTTTTTACCACTAACATAAATACAACCGTGAAGTTCATACATTTATGGAAAACAGGCGGCCCAACTTTCGCTTGCAAATAGGATTTCCCTTTCGTGGCAAACTGAGAAAGTAACTCAATTAGACAGATTAACATTCCGTGGTCTTGTTTGTAATTATTATTTAGATATATAAACTTATTATATATCCAAAATTCCATATTTTATATTCGCAAATAAATACTAAATCATAGAAATTTTTACACTGTTTTACAATATTTTAGTAATTAAATAATGAAATAGCTACAATAAAATGATATTATATTATTGACTGGCCTTATTATGTCCCTTTTCCGAAAAATATCAAAATTAAATAATAAATAACAGCTTGTGTGCCGTTCAAGTCGTATAAAAAAATATAAGCAACAGATTATGTACATATTTACATATAAATCTAATAGTAACAATATATAAATTTAAGTAAAACCTCGATAACTTAGAATCTTTACGTCTGTTTCTTCAAAAACAAATATCAAAATACACGTCTTTGTCGTTTTAATTTCGTATTGTTTCTATATTTTTCTTTGTACTGTACTTATTTTTTCTTTTTCTAGCATAAGGCTTAGAATCTCGAATGTCTAACTCAGAAGTCGGTTGAAAACTGTAAAAAAATGACTTAGGCAATGTTAGTACTTAAACGACGATACGTCGTCACTGCTCGTCAATACTTGTAATGCTATTTCCACACAATGCGCCGGCACAATACATTTCTCACTGCCGTAGTATTGTACATAAAATGTTAAATAAAAACAAACACTTATACCACAAGTGGGCCACTTTCACCTCTGACTAGTCTACGTGTGCTGTGTACTCACAGTGCACTCTATAAAGTAAATGTAAATTGGATAATTTCCTTTTGTCAAGGTCTACCGGTTACTACAGCAGACTCTAATTTTAGGCGAGAAAATGTAATAGCCCGCTACTGGTTATACATATACTGATTATAAGAAACTGTGCCGACACCGTAACGGACTTGCCGTGAATATATCTATTTAAAGTTGAGAGCATATAAATTATTATTGTACACACTAGATGACCCTGTGAACTTTATGTTACCTACAACGCCATCTATTATAATTAATCCGAAGTAGCGATACCAATACAAAATTATCTATTTTTATTTTTACCTTTTTATAGTAGTAGTTTATGAGTTTATCCATTACAAACAAACAATCAAATCTTTCCTCTTTATAATATAGTTTCTGAAAGTAGTATAATATAGTGCAAGAGACCTAGTAACAAATTATAATTTTAACATAATAAATTTTAACAATACAAAAGATTATTCATGATTTATTAATAAACAATTAAATAACATAAATGGATATGCTTGTTATTATACAAGATTCTGTTGTCTGATGACACTCCGTGCATAGTCCATTTCATAATTTACTCAGCAACTTAGAGCTTAGAATGTAGAATAAAGTAATAAACTACTAGCTTTTACTCACGACTTCGTTTGCGTGACCAGGACATTATACATTATCCGCGATAAAAAGTAACCTAAATCCTTCACCATATAAATACGTGTGTATCAAGTTTCATTAGGATTGTTTAAAACCAATCGCTATGAAATTTGGTAACGGTTTACATTAAGGTATTACAAGGTAACAAACAAACAAACTTACTTTCACATGTAATATATCAGTAAGGCCTGACGAGTAAATATTGCTTCAAAAGAAATTACCAAATTTTCCAAAACAAGACTGGTTGTTCTGATTTAAAATCTAATCCACTTATCCGATGTTGATAAAATTTCTATGGAACCATTCTAATAGTACATTCTTTTAGATAAAAAAATCTAAATCGGTTTTTAAACAACGAAGTTCTGAGTTAACAAACATAATAAAAATACAATTAAAACCTTGTTTTTGAAGTCGATTGTAAATTAGCAAAATATAACAAGTACCTACATATTTAAATCCACAGATGGATTGGCTATGGTTTGCGCTATGGTAGATATAGAGAGTCGGTGAGCTAAGCCGTACCGTTACAGTAGTAACGCTATCACACGCCAAGAGCTGTTGAAACTAAGAGTTCGGTACCAATGACCTGCGCAAATCGACAGGGCAACGCGCCATCACGACTCTTGCTGCTTGAGCGGTCACAAAAGGGCCGGCAACGTTTGATGAAAGTTCTTAATAAAGTTGTTTCGATTGTCCGCACTTGTTGGAATTAAATTTATAATTGTTATAAAATTACTTGTCACCATAAAAAGACAACAAACACTTACAAATAATTACTATGAAATTTGGTATAAACGTTGTATACGGGATGTAGAAGGCTACTCTTTATTCCGGACAATAAACATATCCCAGTCACGCGGATGAAGTCGCGAGTAAAAGCTAGTATTTTATAAACAGCCAAATTGAATCATGAATACTCAAATTTTTAATATAAAAAATAAAAAAACCTTATTTTTGAAGTTCTGTTGAAAAATGTTATAAATACTTCAACCTTAATAGACAATATTATAATCTTTAATTTTTAATATTTTTATCGTCTTTGATAGAATAATGATGATTTTTTTTTAATCAAACAGAATTTCAAGAATAAAAAACCATGTTTTTGAAATTCTAATAAAAATATACTCGATCTATAAACGACAATATCATATATCAAAATAATGAATGAATGAATGAATGAATGAATGAATGAATGAATGAATGAATAATGATGCTAGATTGACGACCTCCGTAGTGCAGTGATAGGCATTAGTGCTTAGGGTAAATGAGATTCCGGCTCCGGAACCCAGTCGTGCTAATTTAGCAAATGAACTTTTTGACTACGGCCTGGGTGTTCTGGGTTGTGCTCCCAGATGTTCATTGCCTGGTCCTTAACAACACAGGGCACCCTAACTTGAGGATCGCGCAATTTGTGTAATTCTCAAGACACTTGTTTTTATTATTACTAGTTGTTACCCAGTGGTCGAAATTTAACCATAACATACATTGTAATAAATGAATTTATTATGATTATGTTTGACATTCAGTAAGACCAGAGGGAGACTTTGTACAAAAGTCGATTGCTTGGGTACCTCTGTCCCATTCGTGTTTCAACCGTGAAGCAGTTGTGTTTGCATGGCTGTGTTTCGGTTTGAAGGGTGGGATATGGCGTGAATTTACTGGGTACGGAGGAATAACACCTGAGTCCTCAGGAATGGCAATGCATGGGGGTATCATGGGCGAAACAGTATACTCTGTTATGTCCATGGTACTGCTCATGTCTATAGGCGACGGTTACCACTTTCCATCAGGTGGGCCGTCAGCTTGTTTGCCATTCTAAGTTGTATAAAAAAAAAAAGACTATAGACAAATAATATTAAAGATAAATATTATCAATTTATTTTCCACCATATAAACCAAAAAGTATATATGCATGTATCAGTTAATATACATTTTCTTTTATTAATTTAATGAAATTTTATGCATAATTAAAAAAATTCTGCACTCCTTCACTATATAAGTTATAAGTGTGCGAAATTTTATGCTCGCTCCTCCGCGCATTTTTCGAGAAAGGGGCACAAAGTTTTTACTTTACGTCTTAATATATAGATTATATTATTTAAATACGATCGATGTTATGTCCATCACAACGGCAACAGTAGACAAATGCTTTCAACTATTAAGGTTTAATAGTTGAAAGCATATTTATTTAATATATAATATAATATTTAAATTCGCGCTTTCCTCTTCCCTGCCCTCAACACTGTACGTTTAAGGTCAACGACCTAGCTCACAGTGAAATACCACATATTTGGTAGACTGGAATCCTTGTGATGGCGCAGTATAGCCATTTGCTTTGATGATAACAAATTTATGGTGGGCAAAATGTTACCATGGCCCTAGAATGATGCAAATTAAGTAACATGACTAAGAAACATATAATTTTTCGTGTGGGACGACATTTATGTGTATAGATAATATATATATATGAATATGTAAATTATTATGAATTAACGGGACTTATTAAAATTTTATCCAATTTAATATATTCGTCGGCTTTCTAAAATTAATTTTAGACTTTACTATAACGCCAGTGATAGAAATGACAGCGCTGACTTTTTTTGTTAAGCTACACAAAAAATGGCAAACAAGCTAACAGCCCACCCGAAGGTAGATGATTCTGCGATATTAGTATATATACACTGGCGCGACACCAATGAGTGGTGATAAGTGAAGATGAAATCAGGTCAGTTAGCCCATTATAATGGATCCAACAAGAATTATTGACATCTGGTCTATTTATCACTATGGGCTAACTGTCTTTCATTCTCACTTATCATCCCTCACCGGTGCCCCGCTAGAGTATACTGTTAGTGCGGGCTGGGTTAGCATTTCATTATCTTCCATTAAAATAACCTTCAAACTGACACAGCCATCAAGCAC